GTTATTGGTTAGTGCCATGATTACGTGATTGTTATAAGCCTCACAGTTGAGCAGCAGTTGCAATTCTTTTATTTCGTCCCGCGTTGAAATGAAATTTCTTCCAAATATATACAATATCTGAATGTATACAATGTATGCAATGTCCTCTACATCACATAAAATGACGGAAACATTTTAAGAACATCGGTGGATAAATCGACTGCTAACTCTAGATGTATCGCCTTAGTTGAAAAACATATGAACAAGCAGTTTTTCTGGATACTTGCGCGTGTCTCATGTCTTTGATAAAAAATGGACCAGCGTAGTCCACCACACCGCATGTCTGGAATGCGCAGACGTTACACAGTGTGCCGGTAAATCACCCCATTTGGACTAGAAGGGTTCGGGCGAAAACATGCTATGCACTGGCGTAATATGCTCTTGACCACCCGTCTTCCGGCGATTACCCAAAATCTTTCTTAGACGGAAGCTAATGTGGCAACCCACGTGAAGTAAACATGCATGCCGGATTTTGGGAGTAAGGCAGGGTGTTTGTTCAAATTTTAATGGGGCGTTCTTGAGGCGGCTGCCCACCCTGATAATCCCTTCCTTTTCGAGGAACGGGTTTAAAGTATTGAGCTTCGCTTCCCGATTGGTTTGTTGGATTCGCGCTTACGTCATTTGCAAGATATACTCGTTGTGCGATCCTTAAGATCGCTTTCTCTGCACGCGTTAATTCCCACGCAAGCAAATGATCACAGGAACGAGTGCTGGAGGGAATAGCATGTTTCTTGCGAGTGTTGTCGATGAATGGCAGAGTGTAAGCTACAAGAACCCGCAAGAGTCACGAATAGGAAGAGCATCAATCAGTTAAATTGTAGATTGCATTTGGTGAATTCTCGTATGTTGTTATATGCGTGGTGACTCGCTTCTTTTCTTCGTTCAATTCCGTGAGTGTTGGTTCAGTTGTTTGGCGCTAGGGATAGCTACTCTGGTCCATGCCATCAGAGTTCATTATCCTTGAGGTAAGAAATGCTCACGCCCCGCGACAAAAAATCAGTGGATCTTACGTGACAATCGTCAGTTATCGTCAAGCTCTGGATCTCTGCCACTTGGTTGGCGACGAAAGTGATCCATTGGCTTGGTTGGGATCTGATCCATGCTAAAACGATGGTGAAGTCCGCACAATATAATAGTCTTCGCGCGCGAGTTGTATTTGGAGCGTTTGTTTTACCTTGGCGGCAATAGCAATGCGACACATAACTCCAAATGCAGAAGGTTGATGCTCTTTAATGCGACACAAGATTTAGCGCACAGTAATTTTGGAGTGCTGTGACCATCATTTTGTGAAGAAATTAAATAAATCACAAGACCGTATGCTCCTTCGGAGGCATCCGCACAGTTCACATGTTCAACGTATGATATACGACACGCCAAGGAATCGATATTGTAGGCAGACTATTTAGATCGGCACGAAACGCGGACCATTGAGTATGCAAATCTTGAAGCAAACTTTCGTCCCCAGACATGTTTCTTTCCCGCAATCGTTGCATGAGCAACTTAGATCGGACTATCACTGGGCCCAGCAATCCAAGTGAGTCGAAAATCGGCGCGATTTCTGATAGAATTTTTCGTTTTGTGATTGCAAGGCTCCGTCACAAAACGCAGTAGGTTCTCCTGAGTGGACCAGTGCAATCCCAGCGTTTTGGAATCTCCTTTTATGCTCTTAATCTCAACGCTTGTATTTTCCCTCGCGTTTCTGTCTATTAGTTGTTGATCGTTGCTTGCTCACTTTAGGGACATGATTAGGACTCATTCGAAACAGGTTTTTTGCCAGACGAGAATACCGATCGGCAATCGGTGCTGTCCTATACATAGTAATCGATAGTATAGGTCCGCTCCGATTAATAACTCGATGGATTTTTCGTCTAAAAATTCTGTATCGGCTGGAACCACGCCTGCTGGAATTGGAGAATGTCCTCTTGTTTTATAGCGGATTTTGGGGCGTAACCAATGATGGGTTCGATTATTAAGCACGATAGCCTCGAACCGAAATTGCCGACATATGACTTTATATTAATATCGGTGCACTAATTTATTGCGTTTTTCCGATCGTTCTGATGATCGCATCGTCCTTCGTGCGCGGGAGATTTAGTATCAAATATTTCGCACGTTGCTCTAGAAAGTTTGAAAATTCCTGAAAGGTGGGCCTCTCTTTTAGATCTGTTTGCGTCCCCTAGTTGCTTCGATAAATACAACGTCAACAAGGCTCCTGAAACGTCTATCGGTTTTAATAGCGAGATCACAGCGTTGTAGTTGTTTACAGCATTGTCAACGAACTCGCTGAGGGCGGCGTAAAATAATGATCCGCCAACGTCTTTGGATCATCGAATCATTGTTGAAGTCGCATCCATGTTATCTCATAGTTCGCAGCCGATATTCCGAGGTCCTCCACTATTAGATAAAGCGATCGATATCGGGGAGATGCTCCGCGTTATGCACCAAGGAGGTGAATGATTCTTTAAATCGAAGCCACTGACTAAGGTTGCCGCCGAAAGTCAGGTAGAAGTGAACTCAGGTAGGAGTGGATGACGCGCTGTTACTAACAGTTGTTAACGTTAAATTATCAGAGGCTTCTCACTAAAAAGATTCTTCAAATGATACGCTTTCCTGAAATTGCACATCCATATTCGTGGTATCGTAAACTAATAGCTCTATCTTTGATTGAACGTCGTCAAATTTGTTAAGCAATGGTTCATGTCGTTTGATGCGCTCCTCATGTCTATTGGGATATTAGACTCAGCTACAGTTATATCCACGAATTTCTTAAAAAAAGTTAATCTGGCCTTGAGACAACCACGCTCGGTGGTCATTAATGTCTTTAATTGATTTTCCATTTTAACGGAGACATGCAAATTGGGAACAGTGGTAAAAACTCACGCTTGGAAAAGGAAGGTTGACAAAACGGCTTAAGCGAGTGTGACCTATCTCCCTCTGATGTTTGATGATTTCCTGGATGCTTTTGAGAAATCCTCTGGCTTTTCCACGGCGAATGTTCGACCATTAAGTGAATGACGGCCTGGGGGTGCGAAATCTACCTGATTGGATCGCACTGACGCTCTTTTGACTGTACCAGTTGCAAGCTGGCTTCAGAGAGTATGCTGGCTTCGAAGTTCCTGATGAATTTCGAAAAAGGACTTCCTCAAGTCCTGATTCAACTAGCTTCAGACACGTCCAGGGGGTGCAAAGTCCAAAGTCGTTGCATTAACGCGCTCCTAGATATACTAGTTAATGGTCCGCACCAGTGATGGTTGAGTATCGTTGAGCAAGTCTTCGTGGATCACGCATCCGGCTCGGAGGACCAAAATGTTTTATACAACTTATAATACTGTTAATACGTAAACATTAAGTAAAACATTCAAGAACACGTTCAACAGAACATAATTAATGTAAACGGAACCAGGATCCATAGGCGTAGGATGTCCTTAATTTCTTGCAATAACATTATAATTATTTTATATTGATTTGTAATTATTTTATATGCTTTATATTTATCTTATACTGTATATTATAAACTGTTGTTAATTATATTTATAGATGCGTCGGATCTCCCGGCGGGGAGTACTAGAGATTCTGTTAAAGCTTAATATGATGATTTGTATTAATATATTTAAATATAATATGTATATGATGAACGCCATTCAAAGACTCAAGTGTCATTTCTATTGCATACGTGAATGTATGTCCTTAACGTATGGATTCTATTTGAAATGTACACTGTAAAATCAGATGCACCCCGGAAATATTATCAGAGAAGCTTTGCTAATATAAAATTATTTACATGTTTTCTTGCAATTGTGAGATCACAATTTCACTGACTAGAAACGTAATGGCTATTATGACAGGATCTCCAGAAATTTTAAAGTAGATGTTCAAAATTTAACTACAATTATTTAAAATTAGTCGAGTTCTTAACGATTTAACAAGTACAATTAGCTCTAGAAAAAAAAGTGAGTACAAACAAGCTTAAATTATATTATGTATAATTGTACTATGTATAGAAAAAAATTGTTCAAAATGATGTCGTAATAACATAGCATCGGTGAGGAGATAACTTTTCTAGATTTATCAATAAATTCTATAAAATATCAATATTGTTTTAAATTTTTACACACATTCCTGCAAATATCTATTTAATACATGTCTTTTCGCTAATATTGCCAAATTAAATTTTATACTTGTATCATTAATTTATTTTTTAATTTTGATTTTTGTATTTTGTATCTTCAGCAACTGAAATAATATTATTTTTATATTTTTTATATATTTTATTATATATTTTATATATTTATAAAAAATTTATATATATAAAATATATTATTATATATATATTTTATTAAAATAAAATTTCTGTGGATTTTTCTTGCTATAAATAGTTAAAAAAGACAAATATTTATTCAAAATGTAACATAAGTAAAATAAACATAAACAATATCGTGTCAATCTAATTATAGCAATAATAGAAAGGATATTTACGAGAGTATAGATCGTAATGTCTAAAAAGTACACATTTGTTACTTAATCTTGTTATTTCAATTAACTTAAAAGTTAATTGAAAGAGTCTAAAATACTCTTAAATAAAAATACCATGACAATCAACATATTAAACATAGTCCAAAGTTACCAAAAATTTAACAGATAAATCAAAAGTAAAATATATAGAACGAAGAAAATACTTACTTACCTTTGTGCTCTGCAATCAAGTTTTCTTTCACACATGGTATTTAAACGACAAAGTACTAATTGTCCTTTTTGAAAGTCATGTAAAGTGATCACAGAGATAGAATTATTTAACACTTATTTTGGTCAAATTATTACGATGTAAATATCGTTTCCTAATTATGTCTTGTTTTTCAATCATTTTTAAATGATAAAATATTCAATGTTTGTTTTCGCTCGTATTATTTTATTTTAAAATTTCACCGGTTTGAATTTGATGATAATCCTAAACTCGTTAGATCTATTTTTTTTAAGAACAATATTCGACCTTTATCTAATAGAGTATAGAATATTAATTACTTCCAATTGTAAGTAGAAAATGTTTCTGGCTTTATAAACTACTTCTCACTAAATTTATTAAAATTAATAAATTATGAAAGATATGCGCGATCAATTTAGATAAATCGTTGTTTGACGAATGCCTTATTCGGACTAATTATAAGTAGATTGCAGATGTTTATGTACTTTTGGAAAATTAAGAATCCACAGAATGTATTTAATAATCAAAAATGTAAGGATCTTTTATATTTAATGAATCAAATTAATTTTTATTTGAGTCTCAATTCTTTAATTATATTCATAAAAATATAAAAATACATAAACATTTGCAATTTAATTATAAGAATAATTCAAATCTTTCAATTTAACAACTGTATATTCGTCTGTTCGTTTCGAATTAGTAATATGATAATTACTACAGTTTATCTAGTAATCACCAAATTAAAATCTTCTAAATCTCTAAAAAATCAATTTCATTGTTTAAAATACATTAAAATATTTTCCACATATCTTACATATTTTGAATGATGTGTCATATATTCTCTTTATAATACTCTAAACAAACTATTTATATAAAAAGTAATTTCAAAAGAATTTTACTTCAATTTATAATTAATTTGTATGAATTATAATTTTATTATATTAACATATAAATTCAAATTGTGTTTAATTATTTTGTAATAATTGTTTATTAGATATGTTTCATTTAATACATTTTTTATATTAATAAATTTTGTTTAAATTATGATATACTATTGTCATTTTTATGTAATTAAAGATGCTTATGAGTTACTTGAAATGTTTATAAGATAATAGTAGGTGGATATATTGTAGTCAAAATACTGACTCCTAATTTGTTTACATTTTAACATTATCAATAACATGAAATGTAATAAATGTTTATTTTTATTTCTTTTAGCACAAGGTATCTTCTGGTATAAGATATCTATTATAGCGAGTGATAAGTTTCGGCAGTTTCTTAATGCAGACTGTAGATGACCTATTAAAAGCAAGTACTGCGGCGTACTTGCAAAAATTGAGATCTAATGTAAAAAAATATACATGTTTTATCGTATTTCTAAGATATCGATAATGAATATTAAAATGTTTAAATCAGTTATTACGTGCATACAACTATTTTTCAACAATAATGTATTGAAACTAAAAGATTAAGATTAAAAGAGTTAAAAATATTAATAAATACAATGTAAATTGTTTCACTTTTATCGTACTATGCAGGCTAGAAATATTAGAATATTATAATATAAAAATTATCTTGAAACGAGAAAGGAAAGGATATGGACGATGGGTGCGTGCAGTTG